TGTGTGTGTGTGTGTGTGTGTGTGTGTGTGTGTGTGTGAATGTGTGTGTGGAGGCCAGAGGTCAACCTCGGGTGTCATTCCTCAGGTTGCATCCACCTTGGTTTTGTGGTGGTTGTTATTGTTATTATTATTATTATTATTATTATTATTATTATTGGGTGTTTTTGAGTCAGGTTCTCTCTTTTGGGCCTGGGGATGGCTAGTGAACCCCAGGGATCCTCCTGTCTCTGCCTCCCCAGCCCTGGGGTTTCAGATACATACTGCCATGGCTGGATGTCTACATGAGTGCTGAGTACTCAAATCCTCATGCTCATGAGGCAAGCATTTTTACCAACCGAACTATCTCCCCAGCCTCTCTTGCTTTTTGGACAGTGAAGATATAGAATTAAAACAGAACTTAGCCAGGCATGGTGGCGCACGCCTTTAATCCCAGCACTCGGGAGGCAGAGGCAGGCGCATCTCTGTGAGTTCAAGGCCAGCCTGGTCTACATAGTGAGTTCCAGGACAGCTGGGGCTACAGGGAGAGGCTGTCTCAAAAAGACCAAAACAAACAAACAAACAAACAAACAAAACAAAAAAAACAGAACTTGAGCTGGAGACATGGTTCAGTGGTTAAAAGCACTTGCTGCTCTTGCAGAGGGGCTAGGTTTGGTTCCCAGCATGGTGTCTCATAACAGTCTAACTCCAGTTCCAGAGGATCTGACACCCTGTTCTGGCCTCTGCAGGCACCAGGCACGTATGTGATTTTAACACTCCTACATGTTAAAAATAAAAATAAACTGCCGAGCTTGGTGTTGCACACCTTTAATCCCAGCACTTGGGAGGCAGAGGCAGATGGATCTCTGTGGGTTCAAGGTCAGCCTGGTCTACATAGTGAGTTCCAGGACAGCTGGGGCTACAGGAAAACCCTGTCTCAGAAAGACCAAAAAACAAAACAAAACAAAAAAACCACAAAAATATTTCCATAAAACAGAACTCCTAGGCTTTGTAGATCATTTTGTGTATCCCTGTCATACAAATGAGGACAGAAAATGTCAGATGGCAGAAAATAAAAATGTGGTGGTTACAATGTGGTGTCTTATTCAGAATGGAACATGCAGCACCCCTCAGCAGAAACAAGTTGCAGTATTATCGGGTGCCTGCCCAACATCCCTTTTATCCTCAATTCTCCTTTATAGGAGAGATTCATCCATTAGGTCAGGCTGTCCTAAAACCTCAGAGGTATACTCCTAAACCTGTTAGGGGAAGGAAGAACAGGAGCCTCTTTCCTGGCCTGGATGACATTAGGAGTAGGCACCTGACCTATTCTGGTTAGTAACCCCTGAGGAGAGGACTGCTGAAGGAATATCTTATTCCTAAACAGAGATGCATAGAGAAACATGGCATCATCTGCACTGGATGTTGTTGCATGGGGCTGTGTGACCTACAATCAGAATGGCCATCTTATAACCATCAGAGGTTTCGGCAAAAGGACAGTAACAACAGATTGACGATGTCTGAGTGAAGAGGTAGA